CCTCCGGACCAGAACCGAACCGGACCGACCTGACAGAGCCTCCGGACTAGAACCGAACCAGAACCGAACCGACCTGACAGTCTCCGGAATAGAACCGGACCAGAACCGAACCGGACCGACCTGACAGAGCCTCCGGACCAGAACCGAACCGGACCGACCCGACAGAGCCTCCGGACTAGAACCGAACCAGAACGAACCGGACCGACCTGACAGAGCCTCCGGACTAGAACCGAACCAGAACGAACCGGACCGACCTGACAGAGCCTCCGGACTAGAACCGAACCAGAACCGAACCGGACCGACCCGACAGAGCCTCCGGACTAGAACCGAACCAGAACCGAACCGGACCGACCCGACAGAGCCTCCGGACTAGAACCGAACCAGAACCGAACCGGACCGACCTGACAGAGCCTCCGGACCGTCCTCTTGTTGCTCAGCTTGTACTTCCAGGTCAGGTACCAGCTCCGCTGCTGGCGCGGGATGAACGGCTTCGCTCGGGGGTTCGGGGTCCAGGTCTCCATCCCTCCCGCGGGCCCCCCTCCACCCCCAGAGACCGGGTCACTCTCCGGGTCCCTCTCTGCTCCAGAACACCGCCCGGGCCCACCGTCACATTCTCACCTGGACAAAAAGGTCACAATAAAGTTGTGCTAGCGGCGGCTCCGGAGTAATAAACTGGATTAAAACCTCCCAGCCGGACATCTTCTCCTCAGATATTCTTATAAATACTCACAAATTCATCACCGAGGCTGAATTGAGTCGATTAATCTCGGAATTAGGAGAAAAAAAAACAACGGAGCAGTTTAAGGATGATGCTACATGCTAACTTATGTTGCTGTCCGTTATGTTGCTCTTCTTCTACGGTTCATTTCCGGTAGAGTTAAACACGGTTTGGTACGCTGCCTCCCCTGGCTGGTAGAAAACTGAGCAGATATAACAAAATAAATACCTAAATAAGCATAAATAAAATAATAATAAATGAATATAATAATAAATATATATATAAATATTATATATCTATCTATATATATATATATAATAAGTGAATAAACAAATAAACATGGCAGCACGGTGGCACAACTGGTAGAGCTGCTGCCTCTCAGCGAGCAGGTCCTTGGTTCAAACCCCGGTCCAGGGGCCTTTCTGGGTGGAGTTTGCATGTTCTCTCCATGCATGCGTGGGTTTTCTCCAGGTGCTCCGGTTTCCTCCCACAGTCCAAAAACATGCATGTTAGGCTGATTGGTAACTCTAAATTGTCCCTAGGTGAGAGAGTGAATGGTTGTTTGTCTCGATGTGTCCCTGTGATGGACTTGCGACCCGTCCAGGGTGTACCCCGCCCCTTGCACAGTGATTGCTGGACATGGGCACCGGCGACCCCCGTGACCCAAAACGGAATAAACGGGTAAAGATAACGGATGGATGGATGGACAAATAAACATATCTATGAATAACATCTATGTAAACATCTGCATCTGTGGTGTCCCGGAGGATGATCCGTTATCAGGGCGTCCACGGCTGCCTACCTCTGGTCCTTCCTTCTCTTGTGTGCCATTTAAAAACCCTTCAGGACCGACCACACGAAAAACAAAACTGCGTTAATCTACTCATGTGTGTCAGTGTTCCACAAAACACACAGCGTATATATATATATATATATATATATATATATATATATATATATATATTGGCTGTTTTTAAGAAACATTTCCACTGCAGACAGCTCCATGGTTCAGCTAATTATTCAAGTTTTGAACCGCTCTGTTGTGAGCTGGGCCGCTCCAACCCAGTTCTGTGTGCTATTTTTTACAGACCCCCCGGATACCATAAACAGTTTTTAAACAAACTCTCTGACTTTCTAACTGGTGTTCTGCTCCAATATGATCGGGTTTTGATTTTAGGAGACTTTAATATCCACGTGTGCTGCCCAGATAAACCATTAGCTCAGGACTTTCTAGACCTCATCCAGTCCTTGAACTTTGTTCAGAGTGTTGTTGGTCTGACTCACCAGCAGGTCCACACTCTTGACTTAGTTTTAACACATGGTTTGTCTGTTTCTGATTTAGAAATTGGTGACACTGTTTGTTCTGACCACAAACCGGTTTTATTCAACACCTCATTGATTTGTGAACCTGCACCTCCCCCCACACCCAAGCCCCCTAGGATTTTTAACCCTTCCAACACCACACTCTTCTCTTCCATCTTTGCTGGTAACTCTGTTTCAGACTCTGAACTCTCTGCGGGTCTTACTACAAAGGAGTTGCTTTCTCAGCATCAGGAGGCGTGTGTACAGATCCTGGACTCAGTCACCCCGTTACAGCTCAGGAATCGAAAACGCACGCCCACCCTTGGGTAAATGAGACCACAAGAGAGGCAAGACGCTTGTGCAGGAGAGCTGAACGTCGATGGAAAAAAGATAAACTTCAGGTGTCTTTTGAGATGTTAAAAACATTTTGGAAAGCCTATCAGACCACCGTTAAACAGGAGAAAAACAAATATTTCTCAAACATTATCAACTTAAACAGTCACAACCCCCGCGTTCTTTTCAGCACCATTAACACCATTCTAAACGTGCCTCAGTCTGCCACCATTGAGGCCTCTGTCGACACCTGTAATAAGTTTGTCAGGCATTTTGTTGAAAAGGTGGAGTCGATCAGGTCATCAATTCCACATTCCACAGCCGACCCTTCAGTTCTTGTCCCCTGCTCAGCAGTCTTCAGTCACTTTGACCCCATCTCACTCTCATTTTTAATTGAGGTCGTTGGTCACATGAAACCCTCAGGCTCCCCTGCTGATCCCATCCCTGCTGATCCCATCCCTGCTGCATTTTTTAAACAGGTTCTACCGTCAACTGGACCCTCTGTTCTTGCCATTATTAACAGCAGTTTGGCTACAGGTGTGGTCCCCGATGTTTTAAAACATGCAGTGGTAACTCCATTAATTAAAAAACCCGGACTTGACCCTGCAGCTTGTTCAAACTTCAGGCCAATCTCAAAACTTCCATTTCTTTCTAAAATCTTGGAGAAAATAGTTTTTAGTCAACTAATCAAGTTTTTGAATGTAAATGGAATTTTGAGATTTTTCAGTCAGGATTTAAACAACTGCACAGCACAGAGACAGTTTTAGTAAGGGTCTGTAATGACATTCTGCTAGCGAATGACTCTGGTCAGTCTGTGATCCTGGTACTCCTCGACCTTACCGCTGCATTTGACACTGTTGATCATGGCATCTTTATGTCACGGCTAGAACACTGGGTTGGGATTACAGGGGTGGCGCTAGAATGGTTCTGTTCGTATCTGGGTGACAGGAGTTTTTGTGTTAACTTTGACAATCATTTTTCTGCTTCTGTCCCTCTTTCCTGTGGGGTCCCACAAGGCTCCATTCTTGGACCCCTTCTGTTCTCATTGTATCTGCTCCCCTTGGGGTCTCCTGAGGAAACATGGTATTTCCTTTCACTGTTACGCCGCTGATTCTCAGATCTACCTGCCTTTAAAACCAAACAGTTCCTGCTCCATCCACCCTTTGCTAAAATGTCTTGATGACATCAAGACTTGGATGGCTGCAAACTTCTTGAGTTTTAATGATCAGAAGACTGAGATCATTGTGTTTAACCCAAGCTCTACCACTGTCACTGATCCTGTAAACCTGGACTCCCTTCAGCCTCATCTAAAGCAGTCAGTTACCAATCTCGGGGTAGTGTTAGACTCAGACTTTAAGTTTAATAACCAGATCAACTCTGTTCTACAAAAAAGCTTCTTTCAGCTAAGGCAGATAGCAAAGCTAAAGTCCATTCTATCCAGATCCGACCTTGAAAAACTAGTCCATGCATTTATTACAACCCGGCTGGACTACTGTAACTCACTTTATGTTGGGGTTAGTCAGGCTTCACTTTCATGTCTCCAGCTCGTACAAAAGCAAATTTTGCATGTCATTCGGAAATCAAGGTGCCAGAGTCTGGAGGAAGACTGGGGAGAAGGAAATGCCAAAATGCCAGAAGTCCAGTGTGAAGCACCCACACTCAGTGATGGTCTGGAGAGCCATGTCAGCTGCTGGTGTTGGTCCACTGTGTTTTATCAAGGGCAGGGTCAATGCAGCAGCTATCAGGAGATTTTGGAGCACTTCATGCTTCCATCTGCTGAAAAGCTTTATGGAGATGAAGATTTCATTTTTCAGCACGACCTGGCACCTGCTCACAGTGCCAAAACCACTGGTAAATGGTTTACTGACCATGGTATTACTGTGCTCAATTGGCCTGCCAACTCTCCTGACCTGAACCCCATAGAGAACCTGTGGGATATTGTGAAGAGAAAGTTGAGAGACCAAGACCCAACACTCTGGATGAGCTTAAGGCCGCTATCGAAGCATCCTGGGCCTCCATAACACCTCAGCAGTGCCACAGGCTGATTGCCTCCATGCCACGCTGCATTGAAGCAGTCATTCATGCAAAAGGATTCCTGACCAAGTATTGAGTGCATAACTGAACATGATTATTTTGAAGGTTGGTGTTTTTTGTATTAAAAACACTTGTCTTTCATTGGTGGGATTAAATATGCTAATTTTTTGAGACAGGCATTTTGGGTTTTCATGAGCTGTATGCCATAATCATCAGTATTAAAACAATTAAAGACCTGAAATATTTCAGTTGGTGTGCAATGAATCTGAAATATATGAAAGTTTCATTTTTATCATTACATTATGGAAAATAATGACCTTTATCACAATATGCTCATTTTTTGAGAAGGACCTGTATATA